CTTTGAATTAAATTGATTTGTCAAACTCTCCTCATTACTTTCCCAGAAACTCCCAAATTCCATCTATGAAATTTCAAGGAGTTTTTGGTTATTTGTGTCTGAAGTTTTCCTTTCCTTAAAAAGTTTGTTTTCCCTCATTTTCTTGTTGGTCCTGTGGCTTGAACTCAGAGCATGGGCACTGTCTTTGAACATTTGCTGTGCTCTACTTGCCTTTCTTTTATTAATTGTTTCAGGGAACTAGTGAAAAGTTTCCTCCCAGGGTTTCTTAGAAAATGGTACTCCTTGACAAGATTTCAAAAAATGCTTGTCTAGGGAGATTAGGTTGAATGTGGGTGGAGGTGGAGTTTAGGGTAGGTCTATGTTCATGTGAAGCTTGATTACTTGGTCCAAACCAGTCTGTTTTTACTTTTCTGTTTTGCATACCCTGTTTTGTTTTGATTTTCTCCCTCTTCTCTGATCCTAGAAGTTTCTGGCAGCAACTGTAGGCTACATATCTAGGGGTTCTCAGACTTGTCTTCCCAGACTGTATGCATTACACTGTGGAATAAACCTTTTGCCTCTCTCCCTCATATCAAACATCCTAAGCTGTCTCTTAAAGGTTTATTGTGACTGTTGATGATCCTTTCCCCACATCATGACTGGGAAGGCTTGTGTAGGAAATATTCATGCCTGATATTCAATCCTCCAGTGCATAGGTTATCCATGCCTGTTTTAGTGGACCTGAGCTATTCCTCATGAAAATGGAGATCATGAGGCACATTTGGATGTATAGATGGCAACATTGGAGCACCTATAAAATATGAAGCAAAAAGAATTCTTTCTTTCTGTGAAAGTTAAAAGTTCCTGAGAAGCAAGGAGATAAGTATCAGGTAAAAATGGCTGCTTCCTAAACTGGCTGTGTCGCATAATTTTCATTGTTCAAGGTTACATTTTTCAAACATTCATTTCTAAGTATTATGTTTATTGTCCTAGTATAAATAGAATTTACTTCCTACATTATGTTTGAATTGTTAATTGCTCACAGACTTGTCCCAGTATTTGTTATACAAATATTATATCCTCTTATTGCATTGACCTCAATTATTGAATGTTGTAGATCCTGAGGTAGAAGGTACAAGTATGGTAAGGTATTCAGGGATAGATTATGGCTCTGACTTCCTCTGGAAGAGAAGGTGAATGAATGGAAAATATATGGAGCTTATGCATAGCACTTGTAGAATTCCTTTGGCAGGAGATGTGCTACACCCCACTTGGGTTCCACTAT